TGAAAAAAAATATGGAGGACAATTATAAAGGGAAATAAATAAAAATAAAAAATAAGGGAGGCTGTACTTATCTGGACCGATATCCGCACGATGTAACCACCGCACTACTCCGGAAGTGTAACCGTCGGGGCTCGTGCAGGGTGCCGCCGTTGCCGGTCTACTCAACCGCCACTGACTTCGGCCCACCGTTGCCGAGAGGCCCTGGAGATCGTGACGGTTCGAGGTCTGAGTTTGATTGACGCAACGAATTGGGCAAGGGATTGAGATTTCGTCGATGGTGGGCTGTTGCTGCTCTGAGTTGGTTAATTCCCTTAGTGCTTCTCTTCTCCGTATAGATTTCGCAATCGATATTTCTCACAAACCCGAACTCTGATAAATCTTTCTCGCTTCTCTGTTCCCGTTCTTCTTCTCGCAGTGAGATCTTCACATCAGTTCTGGTAGAAGACCCTAATTCAATCAGTTGTTTCCTCTGAGTTGCTGCAATGGATCCAGAGATAGCCAAGACGCAGGAGGAGCGGAAGAAAATGGAGCAGGAGCTCGCCTCCCTGACTTCTCTCAGTTACGACAAGGACCTCTACGGCGGAACGGACAGGGACGCCTATGCCACTTCGATCCCCGTTAACGATGACGACGACAACGATATCGGCGACAATGAAGCCCCTCGCCGGCTTCCTTCCTACACCGCCCCGAAGTCACTTCTCCGCTTCTCAAGACTTTTATGATTCCCTCTATTGTATATTCCCGGGGAAGGGTTGATTGTAGCGGAAAAAATAAGAATAGGGGAAGATGGACGATGTATGTTGGATTTGAAAAATTACAATTTAGAAAAATTAAGGCTTTATGATAGATTTGATTTCTGATGTATTTCAAATGTTTATTGTTTGCTTGTAAGATTTGTCGATGGATTTTAGGGTTAGAAATTTATTACTTCAAGGATAATTTACCTTATTATGCTTACTTCATTTGTTTTATATAGGCTATTTTGTCATTCAAATTACACAAATCTTTCACGTTTGCCTCCCGAATTAGTTTTTTTTCTTATTCGTCACTAATTTAATAATTTTACGAATCGTTTCACCGTTAGTCACCGGTCGTTAGTCTCCGTCAAATTTTTGATGACTTGGCAAACAGAACTCATGACTGGACCGTTAACTAATGACGTGTCAATTTAAAAAGGAGAGCTTCAAGCAAGAAAGGGAATGAGCTAAAATTGACCTACCCAAGGCAATTGGTGAGAAGATTTCTACTCCAAGGATCAATTCAAGCATCTAGGAAGAGAGAGTCACTTTGCTATTGGTTTTTCCTCTATCTTAGTTGTTATTTCTCTTCTATCTTTGGAGTAGTCCTCCTTGCCACTTGGATGATAGAAACTCTAGTTTGATATGTTGTAGATTGTAGGATTGTGAACTCTTATTTGTATGGGTATTTTCATGAAATTGGGTGTTCTTTATCAAAGCTTCCACTTTGGGGCAAATTGACATAGGAGGGAGAAGATCCCCGAGGCAATTCGGGTCAATCCTCAATTACCGTAGAGTGTCATGATTTAGAGTGATTGATTACTTTCCGTTGTTTCGGGTTTTACTCAAGGGAGTAGAATCAATCGCCTTGATTGTCTTTTGCGGGTATGAGGTACGTCCCTCCGATTAGATCAATTGAGCGGGCTAGGATGCACTTGAATAGAGGTCCTAGCTCATTAATTGCTTCTAATGGTATATGAACACTTACCTATCGCATTAGAGTGTCACGGTTGTATCTAAACATGAACTAGGGGGAATACAGTCCAAGTGATCCTTTCTCATTTGAATTCGCCAATATTTTCTTTGCTTGCTTGTTTAGTTTCTTTAGCTTTAACCACAATTTGATCACTGGATAACGTGTAAACGGCTGAAGTAAGGATTGATAGTCTACCCAAGTCGATATTGAAATAATTATTATATCCTACACCCAATTATAGGTTGCACTTGGCCTAAAGTCGGGATAGAGTTGTAGTGGTAGTGAGTCACTTGCTTATGCACTGCTTCAATCATATGAACACCTCAAGCACTTAGCAGTTCCTTGATTTCTATAATATATGTATAAAAGCATATATGATTAATTAATTACTTATTATGAAACCCATTTTAGTATAAATTATTTATAATATCCGAAATTAAACGAAAGCTGGTGTGTATAATATATATTTACCTTATAAAACTTGCACCTTATCGCAATTTTGTACAACATAAGAAGTTGTCGCCTTCCATAAAGCATTATCGAAGTCTCTCATGTCATCCTTTACACCTATGGCACGACCGACACCCGAAACAACTGATAGCTTATGAGGCCGAGGAGACGATGAAGATTTATCTTAATTTCTCTCTGGCTGATTAAAAGCCATTTCCACTCCATTCAAGTCATGGGAGCAAAATGTGACGCATTCATCAACAATATAAGCTTCAGTGATGGATCTCTCTGGATGTGCCTTGGTGCGAACGTAACCTTTTAACTTTTTCAAGTACCTATATTCTGTAATATAAGATGGTGAACTAATTAGTATTAAACTTCCTCAAGTACCTAAATTGTTGGTAATATAATTAAAATAGTTTATTTACCATACCTTTCAACAGGATACATCCAATGATATTGAACTGGACCGACAAGTTTGGCCTCACGTTGTGCAGCTGGAGACCCGTGCATGGCCAGCAAGTGCTACACACGAACTTCACCGCGATCGGGGACGCCGACATGCCATGGATGTTCCTGTACGTTACTCCGGTATCTTCACGCCCGAACCCTATAGATATTGAGATGCTACGTCGTTAGAATTCAAATACAAGACTTTATTCGTAAATCACATACCTGCAAGTAGTGATGGCAATAGGACGAGACGAGGTGGGTACCTCAATACTCATATTTGTCCCGCACTAAGCGCAAGTCATATCGAGTAATGCCCACACAGTTGAGTGGCAACTCATTCTTATATGTTATTTGAAAAAGTAACGTTGATATATTTTACGTGAACATATAGAGAGAACACTTCACAAATGAATGAGTAATATAAGCAGAATGGATAATTAAAGTCTAATTTGGATTATGAAGTCACGATATATGTTGTATTGATATTATTTCTTACATTTATTATTTTATGTTAAGCTTGATTATTTTATAATTTATATAAAAAGATATTAGAAATATTCGTTATTTTTATTATAAAACCAAGAAACAAACCATAATATGATAAATGAAGTTAAATTATTAGAGAAATTGATGTTTTCACTATATCATAACTTTATTACAGCTAAAATATGACGTAATAAAAAAATTTAGAAGTAATTATATTAAGATTACATGTAAGTTAAGCAAAAACGAGTTGAGAATGGACGGATCAAGACAGATCAGGTCGATGAGAGTATTCATGTCCGCCCCATCTCAAAACAAACCAAACAAGTCGGATTAAACGGATTAGGTCAAATTTATCATAATTAAGAGCATAGCAAGTGGACTGCGCAGCCAGGTGGATGGGATGAAGGTTAAGCTTGGCCATGTAGGAAGCCCACATGACATTTTCCATTTATTTGCTTCTATTGGGTTTTATTTTCGTTTGCAGAAGTAAGCCCACAAGAAGATAATTGAAATTTTGGGCCACATTCTTTTGCCATTATTAGCACTCAAAAGATGAAAAGGGTTGGTCATTTTAAATCATCTATGTGTTATAAACTACCCAAATTCTAATTCCATTCCAACACAGTCAACTTTGCTATAATGATGCAGCAGAAAGTATGAAAAGACAGCATTTTATTGCAAGTAACATGAATGCTCTGGCTAATGATACTTCCACCATTGTCTGAAATTGTGCAGCAGTTTATGCAATCATGTGTTATATTTCAACTTTATTCTTGTTTTCTCTCTAACAATCAAATTGGAATAGCATAAAACTTCGTGTTTCACAAGAGAATAAAATATTTTGAGATTGAGTGTCATATTGTTCAACAATTTCTTCAATCAAACTCATTGGTCTAAGTCATTAGAAACATTGAATTAAATTGCAAATTTGTTAATCAAAAGACTCAGTAGATTCAAATTTAGTTATTGCTATCCAAACTGAAAATACATAATTTGTATGTATCAGATTGAGGGAGGTAATGAATTTGTAAATGAAACTGAAGTACAACTTAGATGAATCGAACCAACACTAAAACTTTAGAGTATTAGAACTAAATCATCTAACTTAGAAGCAACAAATAAGTTAAGACGATACATCGTCTTCTCACCAAGCACCAACCCCTCCTTTTCTGTTTACTGTACATAATCCACTTGTCTATTTTCTACTGCCCATTAGCATGTAATTATTCAAGTTATCGTTAGAATAGTGCGTAGTTCATTAATATATTTTTATAGCCTGTTAATGTTGTATATAAAGCAATTTGAGGACAAGAGCTCTTTTGAGAGTCCCTCCACAGTTCTCTTCTCAAAATTTCTTATGTTGGTCTAAAATATTAAATATCTCAATTTAGAATTTATAAATACCTCATTCAAACAATGTACAGTGAGATATATATTAGTTATTGGTTCTTTCCCATATAATTAAATTGCCTCACTAATCTGGCCGCTTGCTTGCCTCTTCATTACCTGCTCCCCAGGAGTGTCTTCTCCCTCCTTCACTCTCGCTCTAATAATGGTGTTTTGTTTCATTTCCATCACTCCCTTTTCAGGGACCTACTCACCTTCTCCCATTGCTGATCTTATCAGCACTGGATGGTGGATATATATAAAATTTGGTAGTTCCATTGAATTTCTTTGAAGAAAAGGAAAGCTGAAACTACTCCTACATCAATTATTAACCCCCCTTTTAGTTGGTAATGGAATCTCTTGCCCTTCCTTTTAACTCCTCTTTTACAATCCAATCCTATCAAGTAATAATGAAGCAGAAAGGGTAAAGTCAGTCTCACTCCAAACAAGAGAACAATCTTCTTTTCTTTCCCCATTTCCCAGTTTTCCTTCTCTGGAGGTTGCGTTTGTGTTTTCTGTTCGCATAATTGAGTGAGGCCCCAACTAGATCCTATGGTTCCCTTTAATTATTGGCAAAACTGAAGGAAAAAAGTTTTGATCTTTGGCCGTCTCTTTCTCGTTTTCTGCTCTCATAAGCAAGTCACGTCCTCTCTGAAGCTACCCTTTTCACTGTCATGTGAAAAGGGAGAAAAATTAAAGGGAAAAGCTTGAATCTTGCTGAGAAAATGTCATGTGGGTAGTTGTTGCCATGAACTTTCCGTGGTACTTTGATCCTCCATCTGGGTAATTGTTTTTCACCTCTGTTTTTCTTTTTGGTGTTTTGGGATGATTATGATTTCCCCAGCAGCTGTAGTTTCCAGAAGGGCATCGGAAACAGACAAACCTCTCATTTCCTCTACTCATTTTTGCTATGAAGTTTAAAAAGGTTAGTAATGATAGCAGAAACAGTTCTTTCTTCTTTGATTAATAGGAAAAAATAATATAAAAAACAAGTGTGGGGAGAAGGAGAGTGAGATTGGTTTCTGGTCTCATGGCTGTGAAAACACAAGCACATGGCCCATCAAAAAAATAAAAATAAATAAACACAAGCACATGCAACCCCCCACCTCACACCTTTTTTCTTTCAGTCTCTCGCTTAGCTTCTTCTTTTTGTCTTCATTTCTGAAAAATGCTTCTTCTTATCCCTTTGCTCTAGTGTGATCTCATGGGTTTCCCCCTTTGCTAGTTAACGGACCTTATTTACAAAGCTTGGATCTTGGAAGAGGAGGAATAGCTCCGAGGTGAATTCAGCTTCTGGGGTTTGGAGGGTGAGAGACAACTATGGGTGAATCAATAGTTGCTGCCTCGTGGAATGATGGAGATAAGGTACATCTCAAAATCCATTGTTTCTGATCTGTCAGTGGGGAAAGGGATTTCTTCAATTTTGGGTTGCCAATTATTTGGCCTTATGAGCTTCATATCTCTTTTGTTTTTTTGGTTCTCTCTATAGTAATGGATTGTCTTTCTGTATTTCTTTTTCGGATTTTGATGAATAGACAGCTACGAGTGCTTCAAATCCTGGTCTGGAAGTGTCGGTTTCTTTTGGGCGATTTGAGAATGATTCATTGTCGTGGGAGAAATGGTCGACCTTCTCTCCAAACAAGTATTTGGAGGAAGTCGAGAAGTGTGCTACGCCTGGATCTGTAGCTCAGAAGAAAGCTTACTTTGAAGCCCATTACAAGAGGATTGCTGCCAGAAAGGCTGAATTGTTGGATCAGGAGAGACAGCTGGAGCAGCAGCAAGTCTTGAGGTCAGGTGATCAGGATGGTGGAGATCTAGTGGAAAGTGGTTGTGAGGTGGGCGATCAATATTATGATGGGAACTCTGATCCAGGGTTTATGCCAGAGATTGTTAAAGCAAATGAGTCTGACGATGAGTATGATTATGATGAGCATGGTGAAGATCCTCCAATGGATACTCAACCTCTAGTCAATTCAGTTAAAGAGTTAAGGGAGGTGGAAGAAGGACTTAATGGAAGCACGGAAAGCTCCGAACTATACAAACAGGAACTGGCTGCTTCAGTTGAGAAACCAGAAATTCAACCAATTGAATCTCAAGAAGTGAAGGAGGAAGAGAGCTTGGCAGCAGCAGCAATGAAAGAGCAAAGTGTGAAGTTGGATCATAAGCCTGAAAGTTCTCCTGTAATGAAGCAGCAGAAGGTGAAATTGCATCATCAGACAAAGCCATCTCCAAAGGTGAGTGTTTGTGGTCTTACCATGAGACATCTCTTTCTCATATTTCCCTGAAACTTGATATGCACTTGTTTTTTTGTTTTTGTTTTGTTTACTTAGGTCACTCCAATGAACAAGGTGAAGGAGACGCCAATTGTGAAGAAGAAACCGGCATCGCCTGCTAATCAAAGGCCCCAAAGCTATACTCCAAGAGTAAAGAAGCCAGTGTCAGCTACTGGTCCTATGTCTTCTTATTCACGGTCTTCCACAAAGAAGGCCAATTTGACTTCAGTACCAAAGAGCAAAAGTCCAGTTACAGTTGAAAAGAAGAGAGTGGCTCCTAAATCCTTGCATTTGTCTATTAATGTGGATACTCCAAAATCTGATCTACCGCCTCGTGCGCCTGCTCTTGCTTCAACCGCAAGAAAGTCATTGATAATGGAAAAAATGGGTGATAAGGACATAGTGAAACGGGCATTCAAGACATTCCAGAACAGTTACAACAAATCGTCTCCACATCAGGAAATGACTTCTGGAGCTAAGCAGGTTCACTTCCATATGATGAGTCATTGTCAAGTTTCTTAAGAACAATCTTTATGTCTAGCTTTTTAATTTTGTGTTCCATTGTGCTTGCATAGGTGGCGTCAACCAGGTCAGAAGTTAAAGTTTCCAATTCTACAACACCAAGGAGAGAGAATGGAGGGTAATTAACTTAATACTAATTCCAATGCTTTAATGCTTTTGATTATAGCTTATCATGTCTGTACTTTCCATGATAGCTTTGTTGCTTCAATCCCTGTGATTTTGCCTATTAGTGTGAACAAAGTTGTCTATCTTCATTCGTTAGATCCGGCTTAAACTGTTGGAACTGCTTTCTCGGATTTCATAGGAAATAGTTATTGAAGAAGCTGAAGAGTACAATTAGATTGCTAAGGTGCAAATGCTGGAGATTGAGTTATTTACTACGGGTTTCATACGTGAACAATAGGATAGCAAGAACTAAAAACTGCGGCTTACTTGTAGCTTTTTCTGGTGACATTACTGCTCCTAAGTACTACATAATGTTGAAACGCAGATCTTACAAGGCGGGTGATGCAGATAAAAGATATGCCAAGGCAGCTCCATCGTTTGGCTTGAAAAGTGATGAAAGGGCAGAGAGAAGGAAGGAGGTACATCTGGTTCCTGTCATCTCTCCTTAGAAAGACAGTTCTTTTGATTTTTCTTGATTTGCAAGTTAGATGAACGAATGGACTTATTCGCTACCCATCCTATATCTCCTCGAAACACCATTTTCAGTTCTTAAGGAGACTGGAAGAGAAGTCCAGTGCTAAAGAGGCAGAAAGTGTGCGTCTTCGAACGAAATCCAAGGTACGCACTTGCTAGAACATTTCTCCATCATACAAAGGTTTTTGTCCATTGACCATTGCTCTCACTTTGTTCTCTTGATGATGGTTTCCTGCCCACAAGGAGGAGAAAGATGCAGAGATAAAGAAACTGAGGCAAAGTCTAGCCTTCAAGGCGACACCAATGCCAGGTTTCTATAAGGGGCAGAAAGCAATGAAAGGCTCATTCGATAAGGTATTTATGTTTATTTGTACTTCCACCCACTTTTCTTTCTGTCTTATAATATGTTCAATTAGTTGTCCGCTGATAGGAACCCTTGCCAAAGAGAAACCCTTGACCTTGTGTTTATGTCTTCTATCATTCATGTGATGGCATGCATCATATTTTACTGAAAGAGTTGGTAGTTCAGAATAGTCTTCCAAATTATATATTATTAACTCCTCTGCACCTATAACTACCTAATGAAGATCCATTTGTTTGTTGAAATTTGGCTCGCCTATGATTGCACTATACATTGAAATTAGCGCTTCCGTTTTCTGTCAAGTTGGCATCACACTGAATGAGTCGGAGTGAAAAGTCATAACCTGTTTAGCTGAGTCCGAGTGAAAAGTCATCACCTGTTTAGCTGCATCTAGAAGCGTAGAGCTGCTTCTCAAATATCAAACTTGGTATTTTGTTTGCCTAAACCCGAACTGAACTTCGGCTAACCAAAACCAGTATTATCGGTTTCGGTTAAGTGAAACTTCAATCAGTGTACATGTAAGTAAAGTGAATCACAATGATCGAAAAGATCCTCTAGAAATAGAGGAGATTGTTTTGAGCCTCGAGCCAACAAGTTGGTATGAAATTCAACATCCACTTTAAGTTCCAGCTATATATCAGGTAAAATCTGGCAAATTTCCATAGCAGTTTTGTAGCTTCCAGTAAATTTAATCAAAGTAAGTGGCTCCCTCTGCTAAAGAGTAGCAAGTGAAGATGTATCCTCTAGGCATTTGTCACATTACTGGCCGTTGGTTGTGTTTTGTCTTCACGAAATCTGCTATTGTGCTGGTTAATGCAGGAGGGTTCAAAAACACTCAAGATATAGATAGCCAGCCGCTCATCACAACAGAAGAAGTACGAAACCAGACCAAATTTGTCGAAGAACAAATGCTTGACGGAGGGAAGTTGGTTTGGTTCATCCTACTACTTCGAAGATCCCGCATGCTGCTGCAGCTGTGTTTAGCTGGCTAGCTAGAAGGAAAGCCATGATCGACCCGAGTAATCATCATCAGCTATTAAGATAGATCACTGCTACTGCCTGATCGCAGGCCCCCCAATATTCAGTCTTTCTATAATTTACTTAAGAGCGAATAGTAATTGTGTACATCGAAACCGCCACCAAGACAGAGATAGACCCCAGTATAGTAGCAGTAAGTAGTAGCGGTAGATGTTTGTGGGTCGGTATGTAGAATGGAACCACCATCTTAGCTCTTTGTTCATCATGTTTCTGCAGTTTCTTATCCAGACATTGGTTCGGACGAATCGCGATGAATGCATATAGGGATGAAAGTTGGGAAAGAGTAATTGCAGGCATTCCATTTCCAAGTACAATAATGTTTTTAGATTACATGATGCAATACCATTGTCCAGTGACCGTGAAGCATCTTTATCAGTGATGCACCGCAGCGGCAGAGAAGCTGGCTTTTGTGATAAATTCCTGCTGACAGTTGCTCACTGACTTTTGTACAACTAATCCTTTGCTGTCTGTTCAGAGGGGAATTTAATGGAATCAACAAACTGCTCCATTTGGCGCGCCATGGCGGTACGAAACCGGCAACCAAATAAATGTAACCATTATGAACAAGTTGGAATTACTCTAAAACCGCCCCACCCTCCATTTTCAATGGATTGATTCAGCAAACCCTCTTCGTTTTTCTTGTTTACCTCCTTTTTTTTATAGTCAGATTGTGTGTTAGGTGGCAGTGGGTTGTCTTTTGAATCAGTAATAATAAATATTTCTTAATTGTTGGTCGTCATCGTAAAATTCAAGCCTGACAAGGATTGCCAAAAGTTGGATTAAGCTAAACTAAGTTTGACCAAATCGCCAAAGTTATATTGTTGTTGCACCTTGTCGCCAAGTTAGTTGAGTTTGCTGCTTTAGGGGAAAGGTTAGACCTTTGACAATTTCATCATATGACCGGGCTACCCAATGTATAGTTTAGAAGGAGCTACCAACTAGTTGAGTTTGAATGTGTAATTGGTTGGGTGAAATTGTCAATTGATCAAATGTATCTTTCTTTTTTTCATCGAAACGTTTGATGTATATTAGTGTAATTGAAAATATGAAATTACACATGCAATCTTCGTTTGATGAAAATTGAAAATGTTGTTGAAACATCTTGAATATGTTTATAGTACTATACTTTTCAACCTTCTATAATCTATAACTTGTACTCTTTATCAAAACGAGTGAAATCCATTCTTTTTCCGTCAATGGTAGTTTACACATATTAAGCTAATAAAACTATATAATTCAGTGTGTCGTTCGTTTCTTTGCTTTGTCGATTGTTTATCCGCCGCTATAACAAATGCAATCTAAAATACTTGAGTATTTGCTAACTCCTAGTTGCATGTAAAATGCACAAAAGAAACTGTAAAAAGCTTGGAACTTTGGACTTGGGTGTATATATGCTTTACTTGAATGAAGAAAAGAAAGAAGAACTCAATCAAATCTACAAGTTCGACCTATCAATGTAACGAATTCAAAAATCAGTTAAAAGACCAAAAAAACAAAAACAAAAACAAAAAAAAAGGGAAATTTTGTGTTTGTTTGATGAACTCTGAATACACAGAATATGTACATTCCCCCCACCCCCTACTCCAATTCACAGTTGGATTCGATTTACCTTCAGAATTCAGCATCCGATTCATTAGAACTGCTGCTGCTGGGAGACCTTTCCTTCATGAAATGTTCAGGCAAGTTCGCGAACCTCACCGGCGCCGCCGCGGGCGATTTCGGCGACGACCCACTAGAAGAACTGGACAGTTTCCTCCTCCTCTGGAGACTCCTAGCTATCTCCACACAGACCTGATCCACCATCCCCAGGAAATCTCTGATTATGACAAACAGCTGAAGCGGACGGGCAGCTTGATCATTCGAAGCTCCCGCTTGATAGTACTCCGTCGTTCTCTTCACGAGCTCCATTACCTCCCTCTGTTCTTCCCTCAACGCTCTCACCTCCTTCTCCGCCGATTCCAGAAACCCTTTCATCTCCTTCGAGAACCCTCCGCCTTCCCCGCTAATGGCGCACTGAACCAAGCACTGCTTCACTTCCGCAGCTCGGGATGTAATCGAGGAGCAAGTGGCGGCCAATGTGTCGTAGTCGATTTGAGCTGCTTTCTTCACGTTGCTGAATTCGGCGCTCAGCCCACCCACAACTGGCAATCCCAGCATTGTGTATTCCTTCTCCCTGTCGTCCCTCGAACCACCACCAACGTCGGAAGCTTCTCCTCCTCCGCCTCCGCCTCCGCCGCCTCTGATGCTGCTGTTTCTGCTGCTGTTCCGGTTCAAGCTCCGGTTCCGGTTCAGAGCGCAGCGTTTCCCCTCTGCCCTCACCACTTCCTCCACCACGAAGTGAAGCAGAGTCGTCTTCCCGTCCGTGCTCTTGACGTCGGAGAGCTTGGTGAGCGAGCTCAGCTTGAAAGCTTTGGCGTTCCCTCTGGATGTTCCGGCATTCATCCGATTCCCGGCTTTCAGAATCGCCTCCAGAAGCTTCACGAACAATCCCCTGTTTCTGAGCTCCTTGCATCCCATATCCAGAGTGCGGAGCGACTCCCTGAACTGGGCAATCTCCGAAGCGTAATTCACCCTGAAAAGCATGGCGCTTACGCGGGTAAATGCGGAGGGGATCGCCCTGAGGAGATGGTAGAGGAAGGACTCGGCGTCTGCGAGCCGGGTCGGGTCTCCGGTGAATTCCAGGATCTGGGTTTCTTCCTCTTTCGTCGGTGCGATTCTGGTGAGCTTCTCGAGCAGATCCGCGTCCAGGCCGTGGCCGTCCGTCAGCGCCTCCAGAAGCTCCTTGCGAGAAATGGATATGGATTTGAGTACAATGGCGATGTTCTGAGACTTCCTCGGGTCGAGAATTACGATCTGCGATCTTGGGCTGGCGGCGAGGTTTTGGTTCTGGTTTGGGTTGTTCGAATGGCTGCTGCCGCCGCCTTCCCTAGTTGGGGATTTCCTGTTCGTGGCTACGTACCCGAACAGCGCTTCCATTAGATCACCATCCACTCTGCCGAAACAGTCAATTTCCAGTTTTGACGATCATTATCCAGGAATTAATGGCGTCTTTTAAGGAAAATTGTTGAGATTAACAAGTGAACAGATTAGATTAATTGAATTGAATTGGTCTTACCGGAAAGAACCGCCGTGGAGTTTGTCCCACACCATTGAATGGTCGGCATTGTTTTTGTTCACTTTATCCCAATGCAACGGTTTCAATTTCACTTGAGCGCCGCTCCCGGAGGGCTCGCCTGATTTTTCGCTGCCTTCGTTCGCCGTCTGTCTAGATGCAGAACCGGCCTTGCCCGGAGGCGGCGGCGGCGGAGCGTTTGGTTTCCTCGGAGGAGCAGGAGGCGGCGGCGCTAGAGCCTTGTTTTGAAGCGGTGGCGGAGGAGGCGGCGGGGCCGCTGGCAGTCGGGGCGGCGGCATCGGGGGAGCGGCCGGTGGTGGGGGAGGCGGAGTACTGAATTGTGGAGTGGGTTTAGGTTTCTCTACGGCGGCTGACACCAACGCAATCTCACTGCCACCACCAGCAGCAAAAGACGCGCCACCGTAAGGGATTCTCTTTTCCGACGGAATCGAGAATTGGGAGGTCGATGATTTCCCGCGGAGGAGAGGGATCTCGTTCCTGCTGGTGCTCTCGTCTTCAATCTCGTCGTGCTCCGCCGCGCCTTCATCCTCCGGCGGCGACTGGAAAACCTTCTTCTGGTACCCATTCTTCTTGCTCTGCCCTTCCAGCTTCCTCCAATACACCACATCCAGCCCGTTCTCGTCGACAATCAGCCCCTTCACATTCCCACCGCTCCTCACAAACTTCCCCACCACCGGCTGCTGCAGCCGATCCCCACCGCCGTCCCCACCGCCCCCACCCACAACAGCGACCTGGTTTCCATCCTTCTTCCGCCGCCGAGCCATGACATACCTGGTGACGAAAAAGAAGAGCAGCGTGGCGACAACGAAAGTACTGGCGGCCGTCGCCGCCACCGCCTTCACAACATTGTTATTTCCGCCGTCCGAGGAGCCCGCGGGAGAAACAGGGGAAGGCCCCGCCGGCTGTGGCTGGAGTGGGGTCGTGGGAGGGAAGGGAGCGGGCGCCGGGGCGGGCGACAGGTCGAAGAAAGGGTAGAAAGCTTCGAGATTCTGTGGATTGAAGGACTGAGAGGAACATATAGGCAGAAAGAAGAGAAGGAGAAGCCATGGCTGAATCCTGTCAGCCATGGGCTGGAGAAGGGAAATCACTGGTGAGGAGGGAGAGGGGAAAAAGGATTTTTGGGAAGAGGAAGAGAATTGGGCAAACGGAAATCTGTTACAAAACCCTCCTTTTTTTTTCTCTCTCTCTCTCTTTGTTGATGGATTGATGACGACGAATTTTGGCTGGTAAGAATGGTTTGTCAGCGAGGGGCGTTGGACAGTGTCAACGAAGAAGAAGGAAGGAAGGTGATTAGTTGGTTTCCACTCCGGTAACGAGTTTTTTTTGGTGACAGCGGCCCTCCCGCACCACTACTAAACTACTTAGCCGTGTCCTTCCTTCGCTTTCCTTGTGACTTTCAACTTCTTCTTTTTGTTTTTTGTTTTTTTTTTCCTTTTAAAAAGCGATGTTTTTGTTGGGTTTTTTTTTTCCCTCACTGATTCTTAGACAAAGTTACGCGTAATTGTTTCAGAAAGGTCACCCAACGGAAGCGATTTGTTACAAAGCACAGTTTATCTTTTTTCCCAAATTGTTAGTAGTGTGAATTTTAAATTTGTAACGAACTAATTTCATTAATCCTCATCCACAAATCCTGGTCAATAAGACCATTAAATTGACAGAAGAATCTGTTTTTATACTGGATGCTAATCCAAAAAAGTTAGTGATTTATAGTTCAATCAATTGAGAAACCGTTGATAGATATGTTGGTTGACCGTTGATAGAACCGTTTATAAGCCATAATGTTGATGCCCACTCGATCGGCCTACTTTTCTTCCGTACCAGCTGACTCCCTCACGATTAAGCCTGCACTCAAAGAGGTGGGCCTTGTGGCCCGTTAGTCCTCCAACGCTCAAGTCAGTAACTTTCTTAGTGAGAGAAGTGCTTGCAATGCACAATTTTAGTGAGAGAAGCCAAATTGAGTAAATGCTTACCAACCTCGCTATTTATAGCCGATCATTGCTTACCTGGATCTTCCTGTACGGATTCCCACGTCACCCTAACATTTAATGAGTGGTTCCGGGCGCTCCCTCCGAAGGTGATTTCCGGCGCCTTCCTTAGGTGCGCACAACTCACCCTAGGCGCCTAACGCGCAAGTACTACCATTCCGGGTGCTCAGGCCAACTTGCCATTCCGATCTAAACCCATGGGCGCCAATCACGGCCCACTCCGGAGTCTTGAGTGTACTCAGCTTCTTAGACTATTTGGACTTCATGTCTCTTAATGGGCCTCGCCCACATATCGAGGCCTTCTCATTCGTACACCCCCAACAATTGCCCCCCAGTTAGGTGCTCAAGTTTTGGATCCCTTGAGCGCCTAACTATTAGGCTTTCATTCACTCTTCCTCTTCCGACTTTCATCACGGTCGCTGCTTGCCCCCCAATTCGCCGTGACTGACGTTCTTTTAGAACAGGCGCCTCCGACTCAGGTGCCCCACATCGTTATTATTCGTCTAGCTTTTTTCCCGGGCTCCTATGCGATCATAAAACTCACTTTCCTTCCTCCAGACGCCTTCAACCCATCACTTTTGTTTCTTACTCGGCGCCCTCTCATCGCACCCGGGCGCCTTGAGTTAGCGCTCTGTTTCTCTTCCCTGGGGCGTCCCAAAATTCGCCGCTTTTTAATAGAAGCCTTTTCTTTCCCGGGCGCATCGACTTCGCGCCATACAAGATCTCCCCCGCTTCGTCTGTGCGCCCTGGTCGTCCGGTCAACCAAAGTGCCGCTATTCATTGAAGAAGACGCCTCGCCTCCTTGATTTATCGAAGGCGCCTTGATTCGCCTGCTGTCCGGCGCCTCGCGCTCTAGCCGCCCTCGCTCTTGATTTGTCAAAGGCGCCTTGATTCGCCTGCTGCCCGGCGCCTCGCGCTCTAGCCGCCTACTACCCCCGTGCCTGCTCTAATTGCCCGGCGCCTTCTGTTCCCGGCGCCTCTCCTCGATTTGTCGAAGGCGCCTTCTGATCCAGCCGCCTCTCATGCCCCCCTTCACAACCGCCGGTATGGGATTCCCAACGGCGCGGTTGTGAATTAGCCACGTGGCAGTCGGCACGATATTCGAGGCGCTCCATTTTCTTTAAATGTGAGTTGATTCCCAGCATGGTTCTTCATTCGCCCCCGATTTGCCTTCTCACTCTAGCTTCTCTCTCTGCTTTGCCTCTCTTCTTTTTTTAGCGTGCAATTGTTTTCGCCGCGATGTCTCTCCCATTCGACGCTGCCGCCGCCGCTGCGGGCTCTTCTCAGAATCAAGGCGGCCCCTCCAAAACCGGTAAGCCCCTCTCTCCTTTCGTTTTTTTTTTTTTTGCGTGAATGCTAGTGTATTGTTCCGATGGAGGCGCCTCTTATTGCTCCAACGGTTGTGCGCCTTCTTGACTTGTTTTAGTGGAGGCGCCCGCATTGTCACCTATACCGACGCCTTCATCGAACTACGACGTGCCGGAAGATGGGTCGTACAAGATGACTACTTGGGAAGGCACCTGGCCGCCGGAGTATGCGCCTTGGGAGACAACGTGTTTGCCGACAAATGTGGCAGGGCCTGAGCATAACTCCACCATCTCGGCGTCGTGGATGAGAAGTTTGATCGATGGGCTCGGGCTCCCGCGCACCTAGACGTATGCGCCTCCATCTCCCATGGCCAGGGTAGGGTTGTGCGGGCCCCGTTGGTTGGGCATATATCAGGAGTACTTCCGGTTCGGGCTCCGATTTCCTATTGATCCCATTTTGGAGGGCATCCTGGAGTACTGCGAATGCACAATCGGGCGCCTGTCTCCGTCCGTGATACTGATTGTTGTGCTCTTCAAGCTTAAGTGCCGAATTCATCATGTGCGCCCGACTTTCAACTTATTCCGCCACTTTTTCTCGGTGATTTCCCGGGACAACTGTCTGTCCTTGAAGCGGCGGAAGAAATTGCGCGCCCATTTTGTGACGAAGTGCCCTAAATTGGGGCGCACATGGTTCAACGGGTTCTTCTTTTTGAAGGCGCATAGGGATTACTTCTTTGAAAGTGGAGGCGCCTTTAGGACGGACTGGGAGCTTGGTACGGAGGCCCGCTTCAACGCTGCCGTTGTCTTAAGCCGAGAAGAGCGAGATGGGGCCGCCCTAATAAGCGCCTCTCCTGTAAACTTGCGCCCCACTGATGCACGGGCGCCTATTTTAGAGGAATATTATGCAGATGGTGTGTTGAGTGCCGTTATGCCTTTTGTATTCTCTTTTGGGCGTATAGCTAATCCCTTGGATTTGTTTTCAGGTACGAGATTTGGGCGCATTGCTGACTTGATTAAGAGTCGTTATGAGAGAATGACTCTGGAGGAGCCTCAACAAGGAGGGTCCAACCTTGGGGGGTCTTCACCTGCCTCAGTTTCCACCCCACAACCGTTGGTGGCGCCTATGGAGAAAGGGGAGGGAAAGGCGCCCGGAGAGAAGATCGCTAGGGCCTCCAGCGAGGCGTCCACACCATCAGGCGCGTATGATCGCGAAGACCACGTTGTGGTCGAGGACCTGGACGATGAAGAGGATGAAGTGCCCTTGATCAGTCGAGGGAAGAGGGCAGGCGCCCAACTGACTCCAGCAAAGCGTCATAGAGCCGAGGGAGAAAGAGGCGCCGCAAGTCAGGGTGAGACCCACTCCCCACGATATGCTATCGTGGAAGGGCGCCTGCTGGGGCCCGATGGGAGGCCGCCCATGTTTCAGCCCAGGCGCACCGAGATGGGGCGTGTTGCCTTGTCTTGTTCCCCTCGAGCGGCAGTGGATCGTGGATGTGCCATGGGCCTGGCTCTGTCAGCCGCTAAACTTCTACAGGTGCCCTCCTCGATCTCGGAGGATCATCCATGGGCTGAAGTCGCCCGAACGGGAGCCAAGGTTTGCTCATTCATGCCTTTGTTTGACTTGCACATTTCTCATCTTTTTTTTTTTTTGTACCGTACACATTGTTCACTTGGGCGTCTTATATTTGTGCAGATGCTCCTTCTTGCTGAGGCAGGCGCCCGGAAGACAGACCTTGCGATTGAGGAGTGTCGCGAGGCCCGGGCGTCCTTGTCTTCCATGAAGGACAACCTTGACACCGTTACAATGCGCCGCGATGAACTTGTGAAAGAGTGCGAGGAGGCGCAACTGGAGGCGGCAAGGCAAATTTCAACCCTTCAAAGCACATTGGAGGAGGAGCGCCGCCAACGGGACGCCGACTTCGCGACCCGCATGGAAGAAGAGCGCCGAGACTTTGAGCAAAAGCTGGGCGCCTTGGCTGCGGAGAAGGAGGCCCTCACCCAAGAGCTGGGCGCCCGCGATGTCGAGCTTGCTGCCTTGAAGGAGGAGAAAGGCGCTCTCCAGGACGAGGTAAAGGCGGCCGCCTACCGCCGCCGAGATTACAAGAAGGCGCTTAGGCGTGCGCGGGAGGAAAAGAGGTCTCTCAAGGCGTCTCTTAAGAATTTTCCCACTTCTGAGGCGGGGCAAGACCTGATTGCCAAGGCGTCCCTCGACAGTTTGGTGCTCGTCAAGAGGAAGCTCGACCAGGAGTACCCCGACATCACCATCAACTTTCCTGACCTCGTGAACTTTGTTATTGAGGAGATGCAAAAGGAGCAAGAGGAGGCGGCTGAGGATGAGTCGGCGCCTGTGGGAGAGGGTGGGGCGCCTTCGCCACAAGAGAGTGATTCGACTATGGGAGATTCTTCGGAGGCCGAGTAGTGAGGGCACACCTCTTTTGTGGCATGTACTATTATTTTCTTTGGATGCTTTTTCATAAACTTTTGCTTGGGCACATGCCCTTCATGCCTTGTCGACTTTCAACTCTTTTGGGGACGTTTGCTGTGTTGCCCACTCTTTTTAGGGCGCATTATCTTTTAGGGCGCCTTACTTGATTGCAGTCATTGTTTCTAGTACTTTTCGCGAGCCTTTTCCAAGTTCTTCCTCGGGCGCGTTTTCTAATTGGGCGCTTTACTTTCATGGGCGCGTATTTATGGGCGCTTTTCGAATTTTGGGCACATGTATGGGTGCTTTACTAAGTGGGCGCAAATTCTTACGGGCGCACTTGTTCCCTATCAACTTTCTGATCGCCTTGTCAACTCTTTTTAGGGCGCATTATATTTCAGGGCGCATTTTTATCGCACTTATTGTTTCTCAAGCTTTCCTCGGGCGCATTTTTTAATTGGGCGCTTTACTTTCATGGGCGCGTATTTATGGGCGCTTTCGAATGGTGGGTTTTCCTTATCTTGGGCACAAATGTATGGGTGCTTTACTAAGTGGGCGCAAATTCTTACGGGCGCATTCGTTCCGGGCACATTGCATAGGTGCTTTACGA